AGGTAAGTTCTTCAGAATGTGCCACAAACACCATCTATGCTTTATATTCGGGAAAACTACCTGTATTGCATTTTGCATGGTCATGTCTTGATCTATTATTATTCCATGTGGAGCTTGACCCTGCATGCACTTAGCCATGTCCTGAACAGCCATACAAAAGTATCTGTGTTCTTATGTGAAAACAAACCACAACCAAACAGTGTTAATTGTCCGTGATGATTTACACCGACAAAAAGGGCAAATGACATGTCATACTTGTTACTGAGGTAATTGGTGTTAAATATGACAATGTCACCAAACTCCTTATATGCTTGACGACACTGATTGTTTGCCCAAAACACATTCTTTAGCTGCGATTCTTTGTCCAAATCAATACTGAAGTTAAATCCCGCGCATCATGCTTGCATTTCTGAAAAGTAAGATTGTATTGCTGCGGCATCTCCTTCTCCAAGTTTTAATCGCCTCACGTGTTCGATATAATTTCTATAATCCTTTTCGACACAAGCGAGATTCTTATATCCGACAGCTTCAACAACTGCAGAGTCGAAATTCCTACCATGCCATTAATTTCAATCTTTCGTTTCACATGTGCGCTTAATTCTCTGTTGTGTCGATACAACCTTAACTTCGAAGAACTTGTTTTACGGTTGTGGTCGATGTTTACTATTTTAATTATCCCGAAATCATGATAATCAAATGCCGCAGAGATCCTGGCTTTACATCCCGTCTGTATTGATGGTTGCGGTTTTAAATAACCGCTTGTGGAACCACCTCTTCATCCTTCACGATTGCATGTAAACGTCACATAACACACAACTCCATCATCATCTTTTCTCAAATTCCGTCTCTTAACTGGGAAACTTACATCGTAAGCGTATCTTTTGTAGAACTCAAAAACTTCTTTTTCGTCCTTGAACTTCACCAACCACAAGCACATTCACACCATCTCTTCCTCTCGTTTCATCTATACGTATATTCATATTTCTTTCACGTTCTCATTTTCGGATTCCACCAATAAATCATGTTCCATTTCTTCCATAATTTCTTCTCCTACATCAAAAATAGTGGTCACGTTCAGAAAACCATAACCTCTCCGCAATTTTACATCGATACATATTAATCATAGCAACATAAGCAAGATTGGATCGGAGCACACAACATTCATTTTCATATACGTCAACATGAACTTCTCATCAAATTTATCTAGTATTCAGTCAGTGAACTTCATAAATGTTAATGAACTACCCAACTTCATAAAAATAAAAAATGCAACCACTGACTTTTTATAAAATTACTAGTTTTAGCCCCTGCGATGCACAGGTTTTGTTATTTTTAAGGTTATGTTAGCATTGTATATAAATTCAATGAAAA